GCTACCAACAATATACCACCGAATAGCATCTTTAATAATGACTAAAATGATAATACATTCTCGAGTGTAATAAGAAGTAATCGATCGTTAACACTCACAGATAACTTCTCATGAGAGGTACGGAAGACTTTCACATCTCGAGTTGTCTTCTGATTCATCCATTCCAAGAAATCCTCAGGGGTATGATCATATTTGGTTATTCTAAATTGGTCACCTGACTTAATCATTACAGCACCAGACCTTTTCTTCTTAGTCAATGCTGACTTGGGACCAAAATGTACCTATTATCATATTACTAGCATCAACACTTCCTCTCCGAGTGTAAAAGTGAATACTAATACTACCAATAAGGGTACTGCCTTGAGCTCATGTACTCGTTGTATTTCACTGTTGGTATAGGCATCGATAACTCCAAAGAAAACAGGATCCTTCTCATCAGTATGAGCACCGACCTGTACATCAGTTCAATAACACAGACATATCCTACTACTACTACTCCATAATATGATAATGATGCTCTGTCGAGAGTCCTCTCAAGGGAAGGGCATATTTTGCATACTCCCTGGTTGGCACTTAGCAATACGAATAGATGATATGGTTTAGGTTGCTTGAGGGCGAATTCCTTATATCCAGTGATATTAAAACGTATGACCGCAGAGCTGATAAAGGGAATACATCTACGAAGTTTATGTGGGATGATGATGATGATGATCCTACAGATCGAAGTTATTGTAGTGGGAGTCCTCTGATAATTCTACTAACTTGTCGATTATTGGATCAATGGCTGATGGAGAGCTAATGGTCAGACCACAAATGGTCAGAGATAAGACCAGAGAGAAGTGAACAGCCATATGGAACAAAAACTACAATATACCACTCAAATCTAAACATGTAGTGAAAGTATTGATGAACATGTGTTGATACACCTCGTAGAGAGGCAAGATACTCCTACCCTGAGGATTATCACTGCTCGTCATCAATACTCGAGGAGTATCACCACATATAACAATCATTACTACTTAAGACTTATTCCATCATCAACATAAGAAGTGGTATTATTAGGCCCATAACATTCTCAATACCATCTAGTCGACAACGACGTCGACTATGTTCTATAGATATGCTACACTATTGTTGGCAGATTGTACTACTCTTAACAGTATCCCCCCATGATATCTAATCCAGTACCGTATTCCCTCTAGTAGTTACCGCTAGTCCATTGGCAATATGCATGACATTGCGACATAATTGCTGAAACCCGTTACGGTCAATGAACAGGCGGAAA